TTATGTAAGTCTTTTAAATGTTTGTTTTATTGTTTTAATATAAATTTTGATTTTAATTAATGTGTATGAGGGCTTCGCCACTAAAATAAAAGTAAAAAGTTAAATTTTAATCAGATTTTTAAAGAGTCAAAGCATTGAAAGTCAATATTACACCTCAGCTTCGTATTTGGGTTGGGCATGAGTCGGGGGTTTGACATTTTTTGGTGTCATACCTAAGGTGTAACCAATTTTAGGGTCAAAACAAAGTGATTTATGTTTTAAAAGGTGTACATGCCAACGAAATATAAAAAATCTCTGATATGATAGTGTAATTTGTATGTTGTCTTTGCTAATATAGTTAACTGATTATATCTTAATAGATGTCAGACTACGAGGGCTCTCGAAGTGAAGTGGAAGATGGAATAAATTAGGGTAGTAGCAATTCACCTACCCCAATTAAGCAAGGTAAAGAACAGACACCTTAGGGAGTGCCTATGTAGGATCATGGAGTATTTTTCCAGACGTTGGACATGATTATGAAGTGTTTCCAACCATCCACTCCCTTGGCTCCTAGGATGAATGTTTCTAAGGAGGTAAAAAATTTAGGATCACATGAGTTTAAGGGAGAATCTGAGGAAGATCCTGTTTCTGCGGATCTTTGGCTAAACGACGTGAAAATTATGATTGATGGTCTCCATTGTTCTGAAATGGAGAAGTTGGATGGAGTAGTCTCATTGCTACCAGGTCAAGCATGTATATGGTGGACTAATGTAATGATGAGAGTGCCTGGTGATCAAGTGAAGTGGTCGTTCTTTTTGGAAGAATTCAAGAACAAATTTATCGGTGATCAGTTCATTAGAAAAATGAAGCAAGAGTTCATGAATTTGAAGTAAGGGAATCACATTTTGTATGATTATAAGTGCGATTTTAATAAATTGAGCAAATTTACAGCTAAATTGGTAATGAATGAGAAAGATTCATGTGATTGGTTTATAGAGAGTTTGCGCCTCATATTGAAGGAGCTGCTAATAGCGTTGAATCTTTCTATATTTCAAGAGGTAGTAAATTGAGCTAAAGTCTTAGAGAGAGCACAGAATGAAAGATTTGAGGAGCAAAAGACCCAGTTGACCAAGAAAACGGGTGCCTCGTCGAGTGTAGCATAATCAAAGAGAAGTCGAGGTTCAGGTTTTTGACCTCAAACTAGATCTAAGTTAGCTACATCCTCAGGGAGAGGATCAAATCCTGTGAGAGCTAAGCAAACTCAAACAACTGAATCAAGAGCTGGAAGGCCAAGTCAATATCAACATTGTGGAAAAAATCATAGTGGCGTATGCCGAGAAGTCTCCGGAGCATGTTTTAGATGTGTGGACACTGGACATTTTATCTATGATTTTCCACTAATGACTGGAGAGCCCGTACAATCAGAGAGATCTACTACTGTATCTCATAGTGGTAGAGAATGAGGCAGGAGAAAGAATTAGACTGAATCAGCCACTCAACCTGAAATGTGTGTGATTGCTTGGGTATACAATCTTAAGACTAATGAAGATCCTGATGATCCGGAGATCATCACAGGTACTTTTCAATCAATTGATAAACTTTTTTTGGTATTGATTGACCCGGAATCAACTTATTCTTATATTAGTAGTAAACTAGTGAGATATTTGGGAATCCAGTTAGAAGCTATAAATAGTGATGTGATTGTGACTAACTCGCTAGGGCATAGTGCCCGGGTGAACCAGATTTGTCGGGGATATCCTATAAGGATTTAGGGAATTGAATTCCCTACTGATATGATGGAATTACCCTTTGATGAGTTTGAGGTTATATTGGGAATGAATTGGCTGTATCATTACCATGCTAATGTTGACTGTCGATTGAAGCGAGTAGTTTTGAGAAGTTCCGATGGATTAGAGACTGTTGTGATCATTGAGAGAATTAGTCCATTATTTAATGTGATATTGGTAATGTCGGATAAGAAGCTAATGTTACAAGGATGTCGAGCTTTTATAGCCAATGTGATTGATACTCAAGCCCCGGAGAAGAGATTATAGGACATTTCAACGGACAGAGAATTTCCATATGTGTTTCCAGATGAATTACTGGGATTACCTCCAGATAGAGAGGTTGAATTTCATATTGAGGTAATGCATGGAATCACACTAATTTTGATAGCTTATTATAGAATAGCCCTTAAGGAAATGAAGGATTTAAAGGCTCAGTTGCAAGAGTTATTGGATAAAGGATTCATCAGACCCAATGTATCACCTTGGGGTGTGCCAATGCTATTTGTAAAGAAGAAAGATGGCTCGATGCGTCTATATCTTGATTATCGATAGCTCAACAAGTTGACAATAAATAATAAGTATCCTCTCTCGGTAATCGATGATTTATTTGATCAATTCAAGGAAGCTTCAGTGTTCTCCAAAATTGATTTGTTCTTTGGCTATCACCAGTTGAAGATACAAGAAGAAAATATTCCAAAAATGGCTTTTATGACCCGATATGGACATTATGAGTTTTTGGTAAAGTCGTTTGGTTTAACTAATACACCGGCAACGTTTATGGATCTTATGAATAGGGTATTCCAACCGTACCTCGATCAGTTCGTTGTTGTCATCATTGATGATATCTTGGTCTATTCAAAGACGAATGAAGAACATGACGCCCATCTTCGAGTGATTCTTCAGATACTTCGAGATAAGAAGTTGTATGCTAAGTTGTCTAAGTATGAGTTCTGGTTACCTGAAGTTGCATTTCTTGGACATGTGGTATCTACAGAGGGGATTCGGGTGGATCCTTAGAAGATTAAAGCAATTATAGATTAATAAGTTCCAAGAAATGTTTCTAAAGTACGGAGTTTCTTGGGATTAGCTGGATATTATCAAAGGTTTGTAAGAGGCTTTTCGATGATTGCCTCCCCATTGACAAAGCTATTAAGGAAAGATGTTCCATTCATTTGGACGGATAAATGCCAAGAGAGTTTTGAATCTTTAAAGAAGGTTCTCATCAGTGCAATAGTTCATAAGATGTTATTATGTCATTAGAAATTAGTCGGACAGGAACAAATGCACTTTGGGCCTCATCAATGCAAACGTCAAGAATACACTGCATCCTGTTAACCAACATTTTTTAAACAATTTTGAAGATGACATTACAAAGGTCAATTGGCCTGAATTGTTTTAAAGTGCTGAGGGCCTTAACCTTTGGAATTAACACTCTATGCGTGTGGTTGATTAACTTCATTTGAAACCGACATTGAATTAAATCAATGCAAAATTTTGACACTTCAGTACCAATCACGTGCCATAATCTCTAGTAAAAGCAAGCACCTAATCCGTCCTCGCCATAGGCTCGAAGAGAACTCATAGATTTAACAGCGCGTGTGACATCTTGTATGGTGAAATCCATGAGCAAGGAAGAATTCATCTCTTTAATGACACAAACATCAACCCCCTCAAGAATTGCATTACTGATCGTAGGGAATGTGGAAGTCAAGAGCTTTTAAAATAATCACTCGCTAATTCATCCATCTCCAAATCTGAATCGACGTGAAAACCATCATCCTTTTCGATCGCAACAATTTTATTTCTTCTCTTTCGGCTAAAAGCAAAGCGATAAAAAAAACGGTGTTATTGTTACTACTTTTTAGCCAGTTTGCACGTGCCCGCTGCTCCCAATACAACTCAGATTTGTCAAAAATTCAATTGTAGTTTTGTATCCACAATGTCCCTTAAAACATCATCTGTGGATGCTAATTGAACCAGAGTTGCGAGTTTTCTTTGCAGGTCGCGAGTTGTCAGTCGCTTGAAAGAGCAAATATTCTTAAACCATTTTTCGAGCCCATGGCTAATTTTATTTAACTTTTCCTAAACTGAACCCTCCATTGAAGTCCAAATCCAAACAACCTCATCGTCATAAGATTCCTCGAGTAACTAAGAAACTTCGAATTTAAAAGGCCACCGATAAACAATAGACAATGTGGATACGGAGATTACACGAAAAGGGTAGTGATCCAAGAAAGCATGCGTGAGATGTTGAATATCATGCTGGGGAAACATTTCCATCCAGGATTCATTTACAAAACCCCTATCAAGTCTCTCTTATGTTAGTTTTGGCCCTTTTGCCTCAATCCCATGTATACCAGACCCCTGTATACCTGATATTCTTCAGAGACCAATCTTCAACAGCCTCTCTAAAAGCCCGCATCTATCTTTCACTACGAATTAAACCTCCCTCTTTTTCAAAGGAAAACAAAATCTCATTAACATCAGCCATTACTAGCCATGGCAAGTTTGGAGAGTTATTCAGACGACGCAGAAAGTTCCAAGACTCTGATTTTCGATTCTCCTCCGGTGCCCCATAGAAACCTGTTAATCGCCAAACAGAACCATCAGAAACGAAAGTAAGTAGAATATTTATATGAGAGCTAGAAATAGAAAGTAACGTAACATCATAATTTGGCTTCCACACCAAATACAAACCACCACCGGTACCTTGCACCTCATCTTCAATTCCATGCAGAAAGCCACAAGATTTCCAAACCTTCACCATATAGGAATTATGTAGTTTAGTCTCTATGATAAAAACCATATATGGGTTAGCGTCCCTTAGTATGTGCCTATGACAGGGAACCATCCAACGCAAACCCAAACCTCGGAAGTTTTAACTTATGATTTTCATTGTGTTCGGCTGGCCTATGATCTCAGGCTTACCTATTGATTAAGAGTTCCAACAACATTCTCTCCCAAAATATTCTTACTAGAAGGTGTATTCCTTCGTCTCATCACTCCATCAATCTTTGTCAGTGGATTGTCCTCCTCAATTAAGGTCATGACTGTATATAAGCCTTTACCCATATTTGCAGTAACTTCCACCCTTCACCTCAGCCAACATTGATCACCCCGATCAAACCAACCTAAGCTCGAGGACCCTCCTTCAGCACCCCTAGTTTGATCCTTTCTAAGACTAGCTCCCACCAACTTTTGCACTAGTAACCGACCCCGAATTGAAACATCCCACTAAGTGATCAGGATTTTCTTCTCTTGTAGCACACGCAATGGGCAGAAACTCTCACCGTGTCCTAGTTTCTCATAGAGGAAACAAGAAAGCTTCAACTTTTCGTACTGAAACATAGCATTAGTGTTTGAACCAGAGGGTTTGGCCAACTTTTTCTTTCTTTTTAGAGCCTTCCGAACATCAATACTCACACGCACTCGAATGTTGCCGCTGTACCTCAGAAAAACTGCATCAACGTCATACTCAATAAAAGTACCAACAAAATTCCCTAATTGTCTCGTCACCCGTTCCAAAATAAACCCTACGGGTAGACCATTGATTAGAACCCATAAATCCAGATTGTTTAAAGGCGCCAGCATGGGATCTTCCCGTTCAGCCAGACGATGGAAAACCAACAGGTGTGAATTAAAATAACAAGGACCCTCCGAAATAATCCAATCCAATTCAACTTCATTGTATAAGCGAAAGAGATACATGTTCTCCCTAAATACGTGATCGATATACCTTTTATGAGGTGTCAAACGTTTGCTAGGGTAGTCGCGCTGTTTGAAAATTGATTTGACTAATATTGAGGAATCTGCCAACGAAACAATGATCAAAATAGATTTGTGATGGGCTATCCGATTGGCCAACGATTAGAACTTCCTCTTTTTCCTCCCCTAAATTGAGTTCCTCCAACTCCTCCAAATCCCCATGAGAAGCGGATGTCAACAAAAATAGAAAAACTAGCAGAACTAGAGACCAAGAATAAACTCAAAAGACGTGCCACAAAAGGCAGAAGATACTAATATTATTTTTAGTATGGGGAAGGATTTTAGTATGTGCCACAAAATGAGTTCGAGAGTCAGTTACGTATGGGGAAGGATTAGCACCCCAAAACTCCCAAAATTGATACCGATATTTATTAATTAAATGTCTTTGCAATAAACAATACATTTGTATTTAAAGCAGAATATACATAAATATCAAATAATATTTAATATAAATATTACTAGTCCTATTATTATATTTAATATTAAAACCATACTAAATTAAATTAATATATTATGTATAATAATAATCCTAAAGTAAAGATACTAATATTAATTAATTATACTAAAAATAATGATTAAAGAAATAATATAATAGAATTAATTAGCCTTATTTGAAATAAGACCAAAATAATAGACTAATTATATAATTTACCCTAATTTACTAATATAGATTAAAATGTAAACTTGTTAATATTTAGGGACTAAACACGTAATTCAACCTAAATATATGCATATATATTTAATGACTAAAATAAAAATAATTAAAATGCGAGAATCAAATTGTAAGGCACATAAACATAACATCAGTGACTAAATTACAAGGTTTACAAGGTCAGATGACTGCGGCAAGGATTTTACCATGACCAAAATTACGCACAGACCCCTCTCAGAACGACGCCTTTCGGGGAGGGGTTTAAATACCCGAAATATGGCCTTAAGGCCTTCACTATTCCCATTTCTTTATTTCTCTCTCTCTAAAGAATGAGATAGTTCATTCTCTCTGCCTTCTCTCTAAACTTCCTCCATCAGAGAAAGGTCGGTCACCGACCGACAGCCTTGTTCTGCCATTATCGGCCACCGCCGGCCACCACCCATGGTGGTCAAAATTTACAAAATTACTCCCAAATCTAGATCAAAATAACCTCTACTCGAAACCACCCTTCGTTCTTCCTAAAGTCAAACTAAACGCAGTAGATCTAGGTTTTTACCTTCGGTGAAATGAAGTTTCCGACGACGTTTGAGCTTCTTCCACGAGCAAGATAATTCCTTTTTTCTTCCTCTTTGCTATTTGAATCCTAGTTGTTGTTGGGATGCTTGTTACTCTATTGTTGTTTCTTGGTTCCTTGCTCTCTTTTGTCGCTGTGTGTCTTGGTTGCTTATAGCAACGAGCTATTTATAGCCCTCATCGAACCACTCTTCGGACTGGTTAAAGAGGAGAACCCCCCGTGAGTCACCAAGGCTATGGCGGTGACTCACCTAGGGTTGCGACGTGTGCGGCAGACAATCTTCTTCTAGAGCCTTCTAGAGTACTTTGGTCAGATCTGGAGTGACAGTAGAGTCGTGGCAGCGCCAAATTGGAGCTATGAAGGCGACGAGAAGATAACCCTAGGGTTTCTAGGGTTTATGTTGGCTCGATCTAGACCTTTGATCTGTGTTGAGATCAAAGGGATAGGAGAATGGCGGCGCTGGAGTCGATGCGTGAAACCCTAGCAGAGTTGGGTTCACTCATGGGCCTGCTGGATCTGGGCCAAATTTGGTTGTAGTCTAATTGGACATGTGAGCCTAATTTTTAACCGGGCCTTCGGGCTTTATAAATAATAATATTTATAATAATATATTATTATATATATATATATATATATATATATAACGCATATAATAAACGTCGGTCAGACGACAACTACTGTCGACAACTACCCCTCTTTGTTTATTTTTATGTAAACAAGAATAAAGCAAAGATAATAAGACAAGTTTTCATCGAGTGAAATTCTTACTTTGCTGAGAATTCATTCCACTACTCTTTCCTGGAGGTCAAATTTTGATCTAATCGTGCTCCTACTTCACTACTCTTCTGTGAAGGCTGAGGATTTACTTTGCAAATGATTTGCTTCACTACTCTATTGTGAAGGCTGAATTTGCATGACTTCGAACAGAGTTTGTTTCACTTTAATAAGAATCTAATTTCACTACTCTTTCGTGAATATCAGACTCATAATTAGATTACTTCACTACTCTTCCGTGAAGGTTTCATACTTTGCTGAAAAATCCATTCCACTACTCTTCTATGGAGATTGATTTTGAATAACTCGAATAGAATCTGTTTCACTACTCTTCCGTGGAGTTCAGACTCAAACTTGGATTGCTTCACTACTCTTTCGTGAAGATTGAATTTACTTCACTACTCTTCCGTGAAGATTGATCTGGAATGACTTGAATAGAATCTGCTTCACTACTCTTCTTGAAGTTCAATCTCAAACTCGGATTACTTCACTACTCTTCCGTGAAGTTTGATTTGACTTGACAAGAATCATCTTGCTTGAGAGAATGATAGATGACTCAAAGAATTTACAAATTACCCGAATGATTACCGAATGCTTTACAAACGACCCGGAGGCTTTACAAATCACCCAGAGGATTTAATTTTATAGAACATTAAATGAGAAACTTTGAAAATGTCTATCTCATTTTCATGTGAAAACATCCTACCCTGAGGCTTTACAGACAACCCGAAGGTTTTACAAATCACCCGGAGGATTTAATTTTCTAGAACATTAAATGAGAAACTTTGAAAATTGCTTTCTCATTTTCATGTGAAAACATCCTAGCATGAGGCTTTATAAATGACCCTGAGGTTTTACAAATCACCCAAAGGATTTAATTTTCTAGAACATTAAATGAGAAACTTTGAAAATGGATTTCTCATTTTCATGCGAAAACATCCTACCATGAGGCTTTACAGATGACCTGGAGGTTTTACAAATCCGTGGAAATAGTTTACTAAGTAACAAAACTTCTTACTTTTCAAAAATTTCATTTTTGGAAAAGATTAAATGAGAAACGTTGAAAATCGTGTTCTCATTTTTCAAAACAACTTGTTGGTTGGGCATGCTCCAATACTTCCTCTATATGGATTGCGTTTATCTATTCTTGAGATGTTTGCCTCTCCAAACATGACTCTTGTATTTGATATTTGAATTCTACCTTATACTCGTAAGGTATTTTGTTCCTGCATCTTCATGTGAGAAATGTATTTATGCAAATACAATCAAATATATCCATGAAATGCATGATCTTTATTCAAATTATGTTCTTATGAATGCAAAATATCTATTCAATCTTCAATTGATTTCAAAATATCCATTTGATCATTCATGCTATCAAACTTTCTTTTCCAAAGAATCATCTGATCAACTTGTATTTTGGTGTCTTACCTTGCCTTTAGAAGAACTGTTTCATTTATGGGACTCTTTCTATACCCATAATTATGACCTTATTGCCCCACTTTTCTTGATAACACAAGCTATCTTTACCTGAACTTGTGTAGAAATCTGATAAAGCTTTCATCTTTGAAAAGAGAATCTATCATCTTTGCAGAATGTAGATATAAATATGTTAAACCCAACAAGTTAATCAGGATATCATACACGTTTGTTCTGATTTGACTCTTGAAACACATCACAAGAAGGATTTATCCTAATTCCTTTCATGTTTCCATATCTCTTGAAATAACTCATAAAAATGATTTATCCTAATTCCTTTCATGTCTTCACATCTAATCAGATCTCGAACAAGTTTATTCAGATCATATCATGTCAAGATGTTTAACAACAACCCATCGTTCAATCTTAGTTTGCTCTACTAGTTTCTTGTTGTTAAAGTTCTAACGTCTCTTAATGCAAATAAATCTTCATCATTTCTCATTTCTGATTCTTGGAGCATGAAGACAAACTTTATCCTATGTCAACCACATGATCGTAACATTGGTTCAACACCATAATCACTGGTTCGTAAAACATCTGACAATACATTCATCATTTCTTGTGGTTTCTGCCTAGATCTCTCCGCCAGGGAATTCTTTGCATGATGTTTGAAGATTTTGTATGATGTCACAATGATACTTCAGTAAAAATACAAGTGAGATGATATTAGAGAACATTTTGACAACACATTCATCCTTTCTTGTGGCTACTATGGGGATAATGTAATCACATGGTGGAAAGGACAGTGATGTATGGTCAACTCTATTGTCGTTGTTTCACTATTTTCATTCTTCATACCTTTCTATTTCAGTGAAAATATTTGTTTAAATCAAATACCTTATACTCTTGGATGATGAAGACCCTCAGCATACCTTCATCATTTGCTTCTTGTTAATGTGAGCCTTCAAAATGCCCCACATGGATCATTTCTCTTTAAAATGCCCTCAGCGTTCTATTTCTGATTGGAATGAGCCTTCACAAATGTTTCATATGGATTATTTCTGTCTGATATGAGCTTTCAGCATGCCCCAGCATTAAAATGCCCCAACATTATTTCATGCTGATGTGAGCGTTCAAGATGTCCCAACATTCCAAGTTGCAAGGTTCACTCTTAATGTTCATTTAATTTAAATCTCGTGATTCTTTCGTGATCCAACTTTAATACTACCCCATCGTGGGTACTCATGACTTGATTCGTGCCAAATCTTTTGATCTTGAATGCTCTCATCCCAGTAACTTGAGGAATTCTCTTCATGTTGTCACAAACTTAAGAAGTGATCAATTCTTCTGACATAAATGTTCAAATATGTGCCTTTCTTTTGAATGGGGCGATTGTTCTTGACTGGTTGTGCTTTTACCCTTTTTTACCAGTACTCTGAGATATGTGCCTTTCTTTTGAATGAGACGATCATCTTCTTCTTGAGAGGTTGTCATAAAGTAATGTTATAAGTTCAATTCCCCAGA